TGCGGTGTCCCAACATATCTTTCGTGTTTATCCAACATCTACATATCCATTATGTTTTTCTGTGTATGTTCCCATGTTATTTGTCACATCTCGTGTATTAATCTCGTCCAGTAACTGGTTGTATTAGCTTTCCGCATGGTTTCGCATGTCAGTTAAAGTATTATATTTCTGTGCCTCTTTCATGTTTTTTTGTATCCATCGGTTCCATTCCACCGCACAGAAACGGCTTTTTGCAAGTATAGGGCATTTAGAATGCCGATCCACAGACCGCCCCACCATAAAATCTGTGTTCAACAAGTTACCGACTGAATACAAAAAGCTGGTGAAAAAGCTCTGTGCGACGAAATAAGCCCAAAACATCTTACGCATTGAACTAAAAATGTACGTACAAAATGTGCAGTAGCGTCCATATCGAAATCGATGCACATAGTCGTGAAACGGCTGAAAAGTGAATAGGGCTCTCGCCGTTGACGCCCTGAGGCATCCATCGCCATGCTTCGACTTTATCAAGCATCGTTTAGAGGTGATTAAATGCACATTTTGCCTAAACAGTGACTTGTTGCGACCCACTGATGTATAATGCTATCCTCTCAGACAAGTCTGGTATCAAAGTCTGGTCCACCAAGGAGAAATGGTGGAAGGCCTGGTGAGTCAGGGGCGCGGGATCGGACCAACGACTCTAACCGCTTCTCAACACGCGCCATTCTTCAACTTAGAAGAATGAAATATATGACGAACAAGTAATTGTCACAAAAAAACGTTGATAATAACCACTGCCTCACCACGAACGTTAGCCAACATAAAAGCGATTCACCAAGAAAACCCTAAGAAAAAATAGAGCAAGGGAAAAAAGTAACTGAGTGCACACGTTTACGACTTTTACTGTGAATTTCCTACATGTGAAGATATGTTAACAAATAGTAGTGTTTTCACGCTTAAAGAATGAGGAAGGAAGACCATGGCATAAGAAAAAAAGTGGTGATTCAAATTATAGCACTTACGCAATACTCATTAGTTCAACACCCATAGTCAGCATCCGTGATCATAGTTATCAGAGAAATAGAAAAAATAACTTTGCAATAGGTAATTCCACATTGAATAAATGAAAAATTGAACAATAGAGTGTTTTTCCAGCTATTTCAACTAAATCCGTTTCAAACACACTACTCTCAATGTATGCGGTATTGAACATGTGTCTCCTACTTGGATAGTTGGATGGTCTGTCTTCACTGATCGTGCGGACTTCAGCATAACCTGCATTTATCGAACGTTTGCTGGCTTCTCCGCCTACCAGGGGATGAATCCTCTGTTATACGTCGCAGCCCGACTCCGAGGAACACCTCCCAGCCACGATGAGGTGATAACACGTTAAGAGGGGACATGTCTCTACCAAGCAGAATACTAGCAAGACAGAATCGCTCAGTACGTCACCAATCTGGAGTGGAAACCACACCTTTCTGGTTTCGTTTTATAGAACGAAGGAAATGGTTTGTAGATGTTATTGTCTCTAGGCTAAATCTTGCTTCCATCTCAAAACACAGAGTCAAAGCGCAACTTAAAAAACTGAAAAACCATCAGTACTCCTGAAGCTCATGAAATCGTGCGCAATAAAGTGAAAGCCAGAAAAAAGCGCGCATTGTTTGACATCGAACAATAGTCTGACCATCTACAAAAGTAGAAGATGATGACGAAGTTCCTTTCGGTCGCTATGTAAATTACGCTCCTACAACTGCAATCTCGTTATTTTTCAAATGTTTGGAGCCGAAACTGTGCTCCATGAAGTCAACGCAAAAAAACGCCGTACTCTCTATCTTACACACCTGCTCTACTTCATTACATGTTATTACGACACCAAATTCATGAGCTAAATCACAAAATAACAAAACACAAGACTTGCATACAATACGAGTATTTCCCTGAACTTGAGTGCATACAAGTCATCGCCATCCAGTGGAAATTCATGCTCACATTCAGGCGCTATCCCATCTTTCAGACAATTAAGCCAACTTTGTTGAAGTATGTGTGCTCCTCAAAGAATTCGCATTGTTAAATAATGAAAATCCTGTCATGTTTGCACTCCACAGAGAAAGATTACAACAAACCTGACACTACTGCATAGTACAATACAGAATATGGATAAAACTTGTCCTTCTTCAGAGGAGGTTTCGCAATGACATGAGTTACAGACGGTGAAATCATCTATAATGAATTTGATGAAGCTAACGGAATTTGACCGATCATATATATATACATATATACAATATATATATATATATATATATGTACGCATACACTTATAAAAGGCGTGTGGAGCAGTGGTTGGAGGCGACACTGCGACACACACATGGGATCGGTTCCCGCGCCCACGGCCCACCAAGCCTTACGTCCCTCTGGAGTCGGCAAATTGGTGCCAGACTTGTCTGGGAGGATAGCAGCACTAGGTCGATACATCGGTAGACCACCGCTAGCCATTGTAAAGCCCAGATATGCATTCAATCACCTCCAACGATACTTAGTGAAGTCGAATGCATGGCGCATCTCTTAGGATTGACCAACGCCGAGAGCTTTAATCCTTTTTATTCTATTGTATGTATATATATATATATTCTACTAACGAAATTCCATCAAACGAACACATACCTCCTTGACTTCAGTTTCTCTACAACACTGGCGAAGATGACATTTCTCTCTCTCAGAGAACCCACAAAGGAAGACAACTGGGCAGGAAGAACGACCTATAAACTTTGACATAGAGACCGATAGATAAGTTCTGAGTCGATAAAGCAAACCTTCCTCTGCAATATAGTGACGTTGTTAATCCGAAAACCTGACTAGCAAAAGATCACTGTTTATTGTCGAAATACGGGATTGTCCTAGACTAACCCATTCGCGCAAACCATAGGGCGAACGTAGTGCAGTGATCAGATTCGCCCTGCAACACATATGGGATCGATTCCTGTGCCCCAGGCCCACCAAGTCCTCCATCTCTCCGGGGTCGGAAAATTGGTACCAGACTTCTCTAGGAGGATGGCAGCACCGGCTCGATAAATCAGAAGACCAAAGCGAGTCGATGTATAAACCAAATACGCATTCAATCATCTCCAACGATGTTTAATGGAGTTGAATGCACGGCGCATACCACATGGATAGATTAACACAGAGTTCTATCCTTTCTATTTACTTAAATCATTCGCCAAGTATGGACACAATGCAAACATCATGCTGTCTATCTTCGGTTCGACGACTTGTAGAGTTTTTTCCACATTATATATACATTCACTGGACAGAAGAAATCGAAAGCAAATAAAAAACAAGAGTGCTTACGAGAAAGTCAAATCTCTGTCCTTAATGGCATATGAAAAACTTTTTCAGAAAAACCAGGGAGTCCGCAGCCGACAAAAAGGTTGCTTGTATTCGACTAAGCTAACAAAGGAATTGGACGCCATCGCGAATGGGTTAAAGAGTTACGGCATGAGTTCACTTCAACACACAGCACATGTGGTAGAAAATTGAGCGTCGGACCATGTGTTGAAAGATGCAGCCATTAATCGTAAAGGAAAAAGCGTCTGGCGTTGATCGAACTCTTGAGGATGGGCCACGTATTTCACTCCCTAAAGTGTCATAGTGGTGAATGAATGCATATCTGGCCTATATAATGATGGCCCCAATGGCCTATCGACGAACCAAATCAACATTTTCACCCTCCCATAAATAGCTGGTACCAATTCGTCGACCCTACGGACTGACCTGATGGAGGTTTTAGCTTGTCCGGTGCGCACTGCGGAACCAACGACCGCACGTGTACTGCACGGCATCTTTAACCAGTACGCTATGCAAACTCTATATGGATAATATTCAGACTTCTCGAGACACATCTAACTCGTGGTACGAACTCTTTATCTGCCGTGAAGTTGGCTCATTTTCTACAACAATATAAGCTAAGAGTGCACTCAAATCTTTATTGCAGAGCTTTTAGATTCAAAGAAGTTTTACAATTGGCTTGGCTAAAAATTAGATGCCTCTTTCCAAAATGCACATGGCCGCAGTTTCTCACAGTACATGTAATACGAACTAGCTCAGCAATGAACCGTCCAGCATCGATATTAGGAGACTCACCTGCTTTACCAGATGGGCACTCTCCATTGTTCGACGTCTTCAGCTGTTCATCGCGCTTCCTCTTGTTACGTTTCCACACTCCGTGCCTAGCGCTTCCATTGCCGCTGGACATACATTCCATGCTTACGCCGTCTTTAATGAAAACCTACCGCCCTAATACGATGAGTTAGATGAGGATGTTCCGAATGCTGTTGACAATGCCTGCTGCAAATGCTGACAATGATTGGGAAAATCTGGCACCTGCATGCACAGCTTCCTTGACAGAAGCACACTGTCACGTGTACCGTAAATTCTACCCCATAATGATTCGAAGTTTCTTTCAAAAGAAAAGGTGCCAGCGACCACAGGATTTTAAGCCGAATTATGAAGCAGATATTATTCATGCACTGAAAAAAACATACTACTGCACCAGAGACATGAAATTTAACACAGATTGAGACTGAACATGTCAATGGATCAAGTAGAAACGAGTGTCTACGCAATGCACATTACTGAGACTACCGACTTGAAGAAATCAAAATGGTTTATCATGTCTGGAAGGTGATAGATCTCACCACTGTTGGATTGTACAAAATACCAATGACCAATCAGTTACGAAAAGCACTAAAGACGTTGTTGCAGCTTAGATAACAGAAATCAAACACTGAAGTATTCACCATTCTTTAACAAACTAGAAAACTTTTGAAGGAAAAATGCGCTAATAAAAAGATACACAGGTAACAAAAGTGCGTATATTACAGAGATGTGCTCATATTACATCAAAGATACAACAAAAAATAATGAAACTGGTAACATGTAACACCTTCGATTAACAGAAAAAAAAAGCCGCTGAGGAAAGTGAGTGGTAGGAAACAACAAAAACAATAACCCACTACGCTGATCATTTAGAAGTTTTGTTTGAAAATAAACTCTCTGGTGTATCCGTTGTTCTCAATCTCGCATGTCTGCGAACAAGTGTAGATGTATATAGACGCCCAATCGATCGAATTTCCTGCAAAAATTGGAAAAGTATGGAATGTCTCTGCCATCAACATCGGGAAAGAAGGATATATCTCATAACAAGAGCTATGAAATACAAAATGGTTTGACATGACCTTCCCTTTTCTATGACTCTGTGAATGCGTGAGTTAAATAGACGGTTACCACTTCTAGTTTCCAAATCGCACTTAATATCATAAACATACAAAGCTCTCTTTAATAAGAAAAGAAACTAGAACTTAAAATGAAAACAAAGCTGTAAAAACTTTAGCAAAAAAAAACAATGGAAGCAGTTTGGACAATAATACTACATCTATTGAGTTTATCATGGTTAACGCCAATTACACGCTCTCAACCATTGTTCAGCACATTGTTCGTGACTAACGCAGGCCAAGAGTAGCCTAGTTGTTTCAGTGCTGTTCGATAATCACAATGCTTTAGTTGGACCATGTCGCGAGGCCAAACAAGCACCTCATCTCTTTGGGGTTAGAATATTAGTACCCAATACGTCTGAAATCAACGCGTTCCTTCCAATCCACAAGAGCACGTTACTGGCTGCGCTAAAGACGTGGATACGCTTTGGTGTGACTATCCTGAGGATTTCAAGGCAAAGTAGATTCGTGGAGCATTAAACGACGTTCATAAGAAAAATCAAAAAACCTCAAACAGCAACCGAATCCACAAGCAAAACTGCAAGGCCACTGGAATAAGGATGTGAGGAATGAATGAATGCAGAAAGTGCTAGAATAAGCATAATATATGCGTTGTCTTACGGGAAAAAATACGAAAATCAGAACTAGCGATGGCAGTTCATACCTCTGTCATTAAAACTACGAACACAAACCTAGCTGTTAAGAAAGGACCTGAAACTAGACAGTACAGAAGCAGAAATTGTTGCCAGAATAAACTATCAAACTGCGAAATCCGTTAAAGTGTTCAAGAATGTCCAAGAAAAATGTTTTTCGATGGACTCATATCCTAACAATGTGTCGTTACTAAATGTCATTACACTTACTATCACAACAAATAGGATGGTCCTACGCGGCATCAAGAGTCAAAATTTAGAGAAAAGTTTAGCATTTAAACATCAAAACGACCAATTAACCAACCAAGTTGATCGACTTCAATAAGAGAAAGAAGGTGAGGCATCAACTGGAGCTCGAAATAGCGCGTTGCGCCACATTTTTCACAAGGAGGTGCCTCAGTTAACGAAGGCGCTCGATCTGTGGCCCACAGAGGTGTTCCTAAACAAAAAAAAAAATATATCCACTTAAAGTTACTTAGAAGTGATAATTACTAGATAGACATGATGCAGAGTTCAATGTGCTCACTTCACGATTGTACACAAACACTGCAGTGTTAAAACCCAACATCCTCATGTAATTTTCTAAACTTTTAGTACAACGAACGGAAACTCTCTAAACGCTATAAAATGATACCTGATCGTTGGTACCGGAGAATCTGTTCACTATTCAGGTTCAGGAAGCGCCTAAATCTGAAAAACTCTCTCATTATTAAAGAGTGAGAATGTTTAGAAATAAACGGAGCTAGAACACCTTTCAAATCGCAAATCGTTCTGCTGCTCCGAAACTACTTCCTCGATGTCATCAGTGTCGAAATTTTCGTCCTCCTTTAAGGAAAATTAAACAGTATAGCCATTTCAAAGGACAAGTAGCTAAAACAATATGCATATGGACGTGAGAATCTCATCCTAAAACTCCGACTTACACCTTTGTTCCTAGCCAAATATGATTTGTATTCTTCCATATTCTTCTTCTCAATGTCAGCAATTCTACCGCTATGTTCATCCTGATCTTCATCATCATCGCTTTCGAAAAAATCAGCAGTAACATACTCCTGAACAATGTAATACTATGCAAAGAAAGAATACACATAAGCACATTTTCGAAAAAAAAAAGCCATTCAAAAACAATGAACACTTTTCAAATTGGATAAACATTGAAAATATTGCCCACCCGCTCCATTTCAACACCATATTCTTTAAAAAGGAACTTGTTGAGTGGATTGGCACGCAGCATATTAGAAAGGCTGTTACTACCACAGATATCCTTGTGCACACCTGGCCAATCTAACGCCTGATGATCTCGACAACAGTACCTAAAGATGACAACTAAGGTAAAACGCTAGCATTCAAACGACTCCCTAAGAAATACAAATAGCATCATCTAATAGTACAAAATCTTCTGTTCACTGCAATGTAAAATCCTTCAGTACATTTACACACTCATTTTCAAACCTTCGTATTCCGGTATTACTACTTTTCTTTTAAAGACACTTCGAACTTTTGTGTGTGGAATCGGCTGTTGGTTAAGTATTTTTTGCCTTCTTTATGAATGTTGTTTAATGCTCCCCGAGTAGATTCTCCTTGCAATCCTAGGATAGCGGTGATAGGGCGTTTCAGATCTTTACCAGAGCCAGTCTCCAGTAGTTTGTAGGAATCAATTTGACTCCAGGCAATTAATTTACCAATTTCCTGACCCCGAACGCATGTGAGGCTTGCCTGGCCTGGGAGGTGATCTATCGTGAGCCTTCAAAAGGCCATTTGCAATACATAGAGTCATAGCGCAAAAAAATTCTCTGTAAACACGAGGCAACAAAACTCAACTAAAACGAAAGCTTGTGTGATTTCCGTATTGAAGAAGCCCTTCATCACCACTGATGGACCCCATTTAAGTTTACAAGTGAAAAAACACTCAGATTCTCAAGAGGTCACAGTGTATTATGAGAATAATGGAATAAAAATGTTGTTCTCCTATAAATGCTCATTCATATTCTTATCAAAACCATATACATTGCTTACCAAGCTGTTCCGCATCTCCCACATTTCTTCGAAGCATAACAACCACATATTACACACAAATTAGGCGCATCCTCAGGTAAGTGTGGATCCAAGACGTCACCATCTTAAAATATAACGTAATAATTAGCAATAATAACAATAACAATAGTAGTGACAATAAAAGCAATAGTAACAGTAATAAAAATTATCGCGAATAATAACAATAATGATAGTAGCATGTAACAATAATGATAACAGTGATAATTATAACGATAATAATAATAATAATAATAACAATAATAATAATAATAATAATAATAATAGCCGCAATAATGGTATGAACCAAGAGTAGCTCTACTAAACTGAAAACCACCTAAATCAGGATCAAGTGGACCATCAAATGAATAAAAAGGATTTAATCGAGGAAGACAGCAACGGAACACTGCCATATTTGAGGCATCATTCTCCTGCAACTAACGAACAAGTGGATAAGTAAGAAAAACATTTTAATGCTAACTTTGTAACTTACTACCCATTACTATTTTTCACAGCATGGATTATGTGGAATACAACCATAATGACGCCGAGATATTTGCGAAACTCTGGACCGCAGGTGTTTGCGGTGAGGAACGAACGCGCTATTACCCTCTTCGTGGGCTAACACGTTCACCAACACACCAGGAGGGTCCTTCGATTCACCTGTCTCTCAGCAAGTTTCCTGTTTATCAGTGCCATATACCAGTTAGTTTTCTATCTACCAAAAGAACTTTAATTTCACTAATTCTCTACATAAATTGAAGAGGTATGAATGTTAAAGTGAGTAGCGGTTATTTTTCTGTTCGGGGTCAAAGGCCTACCATCTGTCTTATAATTAGCGAAATTTCCGTAGCCTCACGGCTCCTAAAATATGCATCCTAAACCAACACTTTGCTGTTCTCTCCTTGATATTTTTTCTACCCATTCATTGAAAACCTTTGTATGCTACAAGTAGGTGGCTGGATGCGGGTTTTGACTACTTTCAAATTAGTGTCACAGCATTTTTAACATAACCGGGAAGTGCTGTATGCCGGATACTACGCATCACGTTCTGCTCAGTGTTGCTGTTCGCCGTATCACATCTTAACAACAATCCTGGCAATCATAAAAGACTAAAAAGCGCTACTTAGCCTACCATACTCCAATCAGTAGGTTCCTACATGATGTTATTCAGATATTCTACTGAAGCCATTCTTGTCACAAAACGTGGCAAGGACGATCTTGCCGAAAATGGTCTTCTTCGCAAAACCTTCCCAAGCTCATAAAAATACGAAGATATTCGTCGACTGAAGATTTTAGAAGCCAAAAAATAAATCATAACCTTCCAACTTAATTTACTTTGTTGTCTGCTTAGCTATTAAAACGATTCATTGGTCATGGCTAACCCATGTTGATTCGGCCGCTTTTCTGCAACGATGCGTTCACGAATATCGCAGAGTGCTGGACAAAATCCTGCTTGCTACATCATCTCATTGCTCCAAATCGGACCTCGACAAAAAAAACAAAAACAAACGATTTGTAGGTTTAATAATTTGACTGTAGCAATGTTCACCACGCGCTAAGACATGATTATTTAAGGTTAAAAACCAAGTTATAAGTCACACATAATTCATATAGCACTCACACAGTTATGTGTTAGGTAGCAAAGTAAGCTGGATATATATCTCGAAATACTATTACGTTTAAAGAATTATACGAATTGATTGGAAATCATCCCAGCGTCAATTTGATAAGCCAAATAATTTGCTAACATACCGTAGTAAACAGTAGATTTTATTGAATCTACGTCTTGAAGAGCCAATTTCATAAGAAAAAATGGTCAATATTTTTCCTTTTGCATTGTCATTGTTCAACACAGTGATTGTGTAACGAAAGATCGACTCAGCCTAGGCAATGCTTGAACACCTCACCTTACAGCAAAGCGGATTTCTACAAATAAACACAAACAGACTCCTATGAAACGCATGTGGAGGGTCATCGTTCCTAGTAGCATAAATCTGGATTAGGAAACACATTGCTTTTTGACATACCTGAAACTTCGACAAAAAAAGCAAAAACAACGTATAAAAATGTGTCGAAGATGAGAAATGAAAGAAAGGCATAACTAAAACATACACCACACTGCAAATCAGCCGATGTTGGGAGAAATTTGGGGTTAAGCCATGATGGTTTACCACCTATTTTCCCCAGCGGCAAAAATATACTTCGAAGGCGATACAAGTCATCTGGTTCTAAACTGGTGCCGAAACCAAGATACACAGGAGAATCTTAAATCAACATAATCAAAACAAAGCGCATATATAATTAAAGGTAGGTAGCTTACAGTCTAAAATTTTCAACAATTCTTAATATTCATCCACAACGATACTGAGATATTTGCAAAACTCCGGACCGTAGGTGTCTACGGTGGGGAACGAACGCGCTGTTGACCTTTCCGGGGAGTAACGCGTTCACCACCACACTATGCAGGTCTTCCGTTTTGTCTTTCTCTTAGCTAGTTTTCTATCTACCAATACCATCAGCAATCACCGGTCAACAGAAGTTCTTAGGACTGTTTCTCAGTGCACCAAACTTATTCCAATAGTCTCGTTTGTTTTAAAGCAGAAAAACAAAAGGATTTTAAAATCTTGGTACTCCTAGCTAGTTAGTTAATATGTAATAGGTTTTTAAAACACAATGAACAGATCAATAAATATCTAACACTAAACTGCACTCACCGAGAGAATTCCTTTGCATAATTCTTTTTAAATCACTTTCTTCTGATCTTTGTTCGCAGCGAAAAGCCAGAAACACAACACAACATGTACCAAAACAACAGCGACAACAGCTGAGTACGTCAACGCCTCGTCAGGGGTATAGCCGAAAAGATCTGAAAAACATATAGCACATCCTCACCGAAATGTCCGTATCCACACGAAGCCTGTCAAACAACTACAATACTGTCTTTTCTAGCCCTCGTGTTTTACGGCTGCACCATCACAGTAAAATTTTACCCCTTAAATCAAGTAAAAGTGGAAAATATGCACTCGCAAACAGAACAAATATATCCAAAGGTTTCCTACTAAGTGTTCAAAACAGAAAATGATACGTTCAGAGACAACATCGATGCTGTAAAATCCGAACCTTCAAACATAAACCGCTTCAGGAGAAACATTGATCCAAGAGGAACAAGCAGAATGACGATGCTGTACACAAGAAGATTCTTCACGGCACCCTGCACACGTTCGTCTCGTAAGTTCGGTATCAACTCGTCCATTGACGGATTCAAACCCTGCAAATCATTCGCTACGACATGTGTCACAGGGTACCGTAGAAGAATCTTTATGAAGGAACGGCAGATGAACATAGAGACTACTCCACAGAGGAAAATCTCCTAATGCTCAGGAAAAAACAGAAATCTAGATACGTATAAGGCACATTTACATGTAAGTCTACAATGAGCGCTTCTTCCTTCTAAACCTTGCTTATCTACTTGGCCCGTCCTCACTAGTTATGCGACCCCCAACAAAATTTCCATGTTTTTCCGAGTTTTGATAGTTTATCTATTGTGGTTCCTTGGAGCCCGGAAATATGCAAGGCCAGTCCGCCTCGGGTCGTCACTACCACAAGCAGTCGTCGACATAGTGGACCAGAGAGAGATTTGCCCCCACGCGCCTAGTTTGATTCCAGGACGGCGACGGATCCTGGTATTGGTTTACTCGTAGCTGGGCTTCCTGGTGGAAACGCCAGACTCACTCTCAGCTCAATAGGCCCTGTTGGGTGAACGAATCCCCGGCTGTACATCACTGCCCGACACCCAGGAACACCTCCTAGCCACTATGAGGCGGTAACCGTTGGGAGATCCTTATAATACAGTTTTCAAAAAGGAATCACAGATATCAGTCAAGTAAACTAATCGAAGTTGAATCGAACGAAGATGTCTATAAACATTTATTCTATCAACATGCACCAAGTTCGAAACCATCAATCACTGTACACAAAATAAAGCAGAACATGTAAAATAGGTAATACTACCTCATTTCTTAGAAAATCACGAAGCGGACCACGCACGACGAGGAATCGGAGAATAAACACATTTAAGAAGAAGGACAACACTGCATAGAAAGCAGTGGAACTATACACTGGAAGCTCATTCTGACTTCTTCGAAGACAACATCATCTTCTCATCTTCTTGTTCTTCACGGTATGCCACATATATAAAGACAACTGCTATGATAATCACAACAGCAATTCCACAGTAGCCAGCGTATAACATTGCTTCATCAGGAGGCAGATGGTAGTGATCTAAAAGATGTGAGCCACGTAGACCAACACAGCAGGGAAGAAAAGCAAGTCACAGCAAAACAAAAGAAGTTAAACAGAGAAGTGTGAACCAGACAAGAAACTGAACCTCTGAAAATGTAGTGGTAAGTCGTGAACATCACTAAAAGAGGCAACACAAACATCGCTGCCGAGAACTTGACCAGATTCGAAATGGCGCGCCTAGCACGTGCAGAAGTATGGAACTGGTCCTAAAATAAGGTGAGGAAAGACTGTAGCCATTTTACTGAAGGGTTTGGGAGCGCAAGCAAACACATAGCTCACATAAACGATGGTCACTCTTCAGATTAGTCAACACCATTCACTCTGGTCAAGGTGAGAATCGAGAACACATACTTGATCACATCTCTTTTCTTCGACGGCGACATTTCCAACCGAATCCACGTCGATGGCTTTATTATCGGGAGCATCGTCATTGTCTATCATGACTTGTGAACTCGACTTACACATCTCTGCAGCGCTCACATTCTCAAAACTCCCAAGTGAGGACGTATTAGACGATGAATCCTCACATACTACGTCTTGATCATCAGACATCTGAAGCTGAATCCATATGACATTACGAAATCAAAACGGTACACTATCAAATGTACGGCAAGACTGTAGTAGCTGAATAGCATAGCGTAGAATGAGAAGCACTCATGAAGCTATCATAGAAACAATTTTGCCCTATGTGAAGCCAGCCTAAAAGCTGTATGTAGGAAGGGTTATGGTTCTTTGACACCAATCACAGCAACGGTTCTCGTTTACTTTGTGGAAGAATTTCATGTGAGTGTTGAATCATTACTAACCCATTCTTTCTTAACTCTACAACAAAATATCCAGATCGAAAAACCTAAAGCAAGCAGAAGGTACACTAAGCTAGCAAAAGCCGTACCTTACTCACTGACGGAGGAACTAAAGATCACGCACACCGTACCGTGACTCGACTGCAACAATGCTTGTTGGTTGTCATGTACGCAAATGCGTACACTTCCTTTTTGAACCATCAACGTTTTGTTTTGAGACAACAGTTTATTTAAACAGGCTTCCAAATAATTTGAAGAAGTCGAGTAAGTGAACAGAAGCAAGAGACACCCATTCGGTTAAGATCAAAAGGGGCTAAGAAAAAAGAAAAAGAGAGAAGAAGAGAAGGAAATACATTTCAAATATGTTCAGTTGATTACGGCAGAGATGTTGGAAGTTGGAGATTTCCAGAATAATTTAAACTCCATCTTCTGTTTCCAATACATAAATACACATGCAAAATTAAACAATAAACGAAGATCGTCGGATCTTAGAAGCAGAAAGAACACATTCTTTCAACAACCGTTCGGACTAATTACAGTGGATTGCAAGATTGAGAACATGATGAGCGATTGTAACCAACTGTATTTCGTGTTCTCTGCTGGGCCTAATGATGCCCATATGCTCAAGCTGGCCGACACATGCAAAGAACATCGACTCGAGTTCATCCTTCGATCCTTTCAATCCCTAGAAAATTGACTGCTACATCTTTACATACGACATTTCACTTAAATCGTTCCAGAAACATATTGACGTCATCGCTTGTAGAGGTTTCGTTTGTAACAGTTCCAGAGAAACACAAACATTATTCAGTAAGATGAATTTCGAAGTGGTGGACGTACTATCAATCTGGCATTTATTTTGATGTGTAACGGATTTTTTCGTAACTAACACACAGTTAGATCTTTAGATTAGTTACCAGCAAATGTATCCTGAATTGCAAGCTGTTGTGCCCCAATTCTTTCTTCCATGAAAAAATTTCAGAAAAAGTAATATCTTGCATAAGTGCGACATGTTCTCGTACTGCTATTCATCATTTTAACTCTCCTTATGATGAAGTTAATCATTCCGTTGAGCATGGAGTTACTCGAATAAGTACCTGTAAAACCTAGAATCATCTTTAGCATGTGTCAAAGATGTTCACCGACATTGGGTATAACAGTAGGTAAACTACTACCGTCATACATCGTCATTGAATTTGAATACTCAAACCATCTGGATACAATGAAGTGGAAAACAAGTGGAAGGAATAGAAGTTAGTAAGTAACCAGTAGTAGTGGTAAGCATGCGAAAGAAAAGTTGTATTCTTGAAGTGCAGCTAAAACATTAGCCATCCAGTGATCTTATATAGAACAGTTGCGCTCGTTGGTCAATGACCGCTGATAACGCGACACTAACACTACCAAACACTTTTTAGTAGTCCACGAAGGTTAGAACAAGTGACAGCTGGTATTTTTGGCCGAAATCGATAACCCTCGCTACAACGCAGCAGAATATTACTCGCAAGCGTACTTCCTATAATGGTTGAACTTCATCAAAAGTTCTTGATAGGACAATTTTCCAGACAATTGTAGAGTTCGATTAACTAGAAACTCATGATTTGGATCCCTTAGTATAATAAGACGAAAACGGAAGTGAAAAGGGTTGCCATGTTCTATCTCTCACCTGTACATAACTGTCAACACTGAAGGTTTCTCCCCACTTAGAAAGAGTAACGGTCTTCCATCGTCCTTGTTTCAGAAGAGCTTGCAAGGCAACATTTAATGGAGATGCCTTAAAATAACATTCCAGAAAACCCACAGTTGATTACATCTCACAGACACTAAAACCTTTATTTTGCGAAATAAATTTCATTAGCTTGGATCTGAAACTAAACTGAAATTAACATTCCGATTATATAGTTTCTTCCTACTAAACAATAATGGAAGAATCTCGTGAGGTACTTGGATACTTGGGCGGCCCGTCCTCACTGGTTGTGCGGGCACCAGCATAATCACTTTTTCGGAGTTTTGCTGGTTCAGCCATTGTGGTTCACTGAACTCCTGAGGTCAACCATGCCAAAGTTTGCCTAAGCCGTCACCACTACAGGCAGTCGCTGCACTTGTCGATCAGAAGATTTGGTGCCATGCGACTAATTTGATTCCAGGACAGCGGTGGATCCTGGTATCGGCTTGCTTTTAACTGTGCTTACTGGTGGAAATGCTGTAGATCGCAGCCCAACACCCAGGAACACCTCCCAGAGATGGTAAACCGAAAAAAGATTTCACGAGATGTTCAGTTTATTCCCTCAACTGAGTTTATTTGTTCAGTCTCCCCTTCAAAAACTCACAATTTCAATATTACTTCGATGACAGTTAGAATAAAGCTCTGGAAACTTCAATGGATAGATTTGAATGAAGTATCGACTCTATTAAATTTGCATAAAACCAACCGAGAAATTTACATGTCTCATTTAATGCCTAGTAATTAATATTACAAAACTACCTAAACATTAAGACAAGACTCGATACAATACCAATTTCGTGGCGAAGGAAGCCTCTATGTCTTTTGTAATATTCGGTGCTAGTGATTGAGTGCTTTTTCCACCAATAAGAAAATGACTAGATTGCGAAAAGGAAGAGAATGGACGAAGAACGGAACGAAAGACGTTCTGAAATAAACAACCATAGTAAAACGCCATAATACTTGATTTTCTAACCTTAGAACACTTTAGACAAACAACCTCAATGTCGAAGACGGCTTTTTGGCGAGCTACTACATAAGGATTACGCTGCTTAGCGGATATAATCTCCTTCATTTTCTCCTTCAAATTCAAAGCAGTTACCTTGCCTTCAGTAACCTTCACCAACACCTAAAAATTGGAAAATTTAGTTAAAAAAGAAAAATAAAAATAAAAGTAAAAACCAGTCCACGAAAAACAGATGATTAACCTATTAAGATCAAGGTCACTAACAATAAAAGGCTAAGCGTAAACGGGATAGGACAATCATTCCGTTCTTGGCTGCTTTTGTAGATAGCCAAAAGTAAACACTATATAACATGAATCCATTACAGGAGTTACTAAAGAGCACTTTAAATGCAAGACAGCAGTGAAATAATTTGCTAATACGCTTAATCCCACTGTACTGAAAAAAAATCACAAGTGTATCTCGATAAGGCCAGGTGTAGCAACCCCAGCTTGCTAACCTTAAGAGCAGGATAAAACTCACCTTGTAAATATTTTATCTCGGATAGAGGTGTATAGAGTTGTATACAGGGTATGGACTCTCTGTCGCTACTGTACTGCACATAAATATATACGCATATGCATATATTACTATGTGAGTTATGAATCTACGCACCTTCGCATCATGGCTGGGAGGTGTTCCTGAGTACCAGACTGGGTTGCACAGGTGTGGGTGGGGTTTGTCCTCCAGCAGGGTATTTCAGGCTGAGAGTTCGACGATATGGAAACTCAACTACGAGTAAACCAATACCAGGAAACACCAACGTTCTCATGTCAGATTAGTCGCACGATGGTAAATATCCCTCTAATCGCACAAGGCCCGTCAACTGCCTGTGGTGGTGATGACCGTAAGGCTTCGGCTAGGCTGCCTTCGAGACCTCAGGGAACCACAGTTGCATAACAAGCAAAACTCCAGCACAAGTACCCTGCACAGTGGGCGCTCCTGTCTACTACTTCGAGCGGTAAGACAATTGGTGAGAGATGATCAAATCCCAGGTTGCGCAGAAATTCAATGGAAACGTACAGAACGAGCAAACCCAAGGCACGTAGTGAAGGGTGTTTCGCATTCTGTAGCCATAACAACTAATTAGTCTCTTCAGGCACCCATCTTTACGCTCTTCCTGAAGCCGCTGGTCACATCAAATTTTATGTGATTATCTTACAAAAGATGAAATGCAGGAAAAACCGACATATGGCAATTAGAAGACAGGACTCAGAATTCCTGTACACAGCATGTCTCGTCCATGGGTATCCACTTTTTGAGGGAAGGAAATCTCTAGTGAACCTGGGAGGCTCCTAACAGCACGGTACATACGGCCATAATGATCGACCATAATGAAGTTAGCACAGACATCGCCCATGCCAAAATAAGTCACAGAAGAACGCTTGTACGGCTTCATTCTAACTACCGAAGCCCTATTTTCAACAGCTGAAGTGGGTATGTCCGCAGAACACGATAACGAAATGGACTACCAGCAAATCTAAGGCATTGTCGTCGCTGTTGAACAAGTATACATATGATAGAAACACAACCACTGGTACTTTTTCCCAAAAGGAAACCCCAAAACCGATAAGAAACATTAACTTTTCATCAAACATTTAAGAAAGTATTAAAATGCGAAGAATTTTAGAACTACTACAGTTTTAGAAAGCCAGCTTACAAGCCATGGTCTCCACATAGCGTGTAAGCTCGGTTTTTAGAACTACGAAATTACGTCCAAGGTCACGAAGCTCTACGATATATAAAAAATAGTAAAGATAGAAAAGCACCACTAGTAATTGAAGCAGCAAAGAAATAACGATCGTTCTGCGATGCTCGTTCAGATCAAATAGTAAATGCATTAAGAAAGGAAGTGAAGTTTACTATCTACAACTTCCATTCGACCTCTTCAACAACCATGCCGCCTCCATATACCTTCTGGGAGGATGAATATGTAGCTCTAGCTATTCTTCCTTCCGAAGTTCGATATTATATCTCGTCAAAGGACATTCGTACAACACCAGGTTCAAGCAAGATTTAACTCAAACAACCTGTTGCCAGTCCTTATCAACATGCTGGCGTGGTCATTCACTCAATAATTGTTAGAAACCTGTTTCTCGTCCACAACCTATTTTCTCTAGTAATCTATAACAGAACTAGCCAAAAAATAGACGAAGAAATGCCATGATTTGAAAAGCGGTCAAACGTACCCACACGAAAGCGAAACTTATTGAAATCTAGTGGGAGTACGAGGGGAACAAACACTATTCCAATGTCTAATCATAAATATTTTCAGCCTCTTTTAAAAACGTTACATGAAATACTTACTTACTTGGATACTTGGATGACTCGTCTTCACTAGTTCTGCGGACCACAGCAAATTCTCCATTTTCCTGAGTTTTGCTGGTTTAACCATTGTGGTTCCCTGGAGTCCCGATGTCAACCTAGCCAAGGTCTACTTCAGGTCGTCAACACCACAGTAGTCGCCGGACTTGTGGATCAGAGTGAGATTTGCCACCATGAGAATAGTTTGATCCCATGACGGTGGTGAATCCTACTATTGGTTTACTCTTGGCTTAGCTTCCTGACGGAAACTCTGGACTCATTCCCAGCATGGGAGGCCCCGCCGGTGAGATGAATCGTCCCGGTGTACATCGTAGCCTGACACCCAGGAACACCTCTCAGGAACACGGCACGATATGCCGGTGAACCGTCCACAGGGTCATATGAAATTGGAAGCGATAACATATAACTGAAAGGTGATGGCCGTGAGCTATACATTAGATAAGCACAACGAATTAAATGTTAGTAAGAAATAAATTTACGACGGAAGAACATCTCTGAGAACATACTTGTTGATTCACCTCCGGCTCTCCATTCTGAATAGTTGAAGGTAATACTATGTTATGCGAAGCAATTCCTAGGTGCTGGAGCACAATTGAAATTTCTTCCGGTGACATGTAGTATAGCGATTGTATCCAGTTCCTGGTAGAAGCACTCCATAAGGCTTATACAAGTCAAAAAACTTAGGAATGTTGAATCTTAACAGCTCAACTAGAGCGAATATATAAAACTTCTCTTTGACGATTAACATACTTGTAGTCATCCGAATTCTTTACTTTGCTCAAAAAATTCCCTTTCTGAACATCCTCATGTAGTTGAAGAATATGTGTAGATCGACGAATAGATGTTCCTCCCCTGAAATCAAACATTAGTTGTAGTACAACCACAACGTTGCTGAGATATTTGCAAAACTCTGGACCGCAGGTGTCTATGGTGGGAACCGAACGCGCTATTATCCTTTCCGGGGAGTAACGCGTTCACCACCACACTATGCGGGTCCTTCGTTTCACCTGTCTCTCAGCTATTTCTATCGATCTTTTTGCCACAGCAATCACCCGTCAGCGGGGTTGATAAACATTGTGATTTCAACTACAGCCATAGCTTAACTGGGTTCTATGCCGATTTGCGCTTCCCAGATCAACCCCGCTGACGGGTGATTGCTGTGGCAAAAAGATCGATAGAAATAGCTGAGAGACAGGCGAAACGAAGGACCCGCATGGTGTGGTGGTGAACACGTTACTCCCCGGAAAGGATAATAGCGCGTTCGTTCCCCACCATAGACACCTGCGGTCCAGAGTTTTGCAAATATCTCAGCAACGTTGTGGTTGTATTTCGCTTAGTAACCTGCCATGAAAATTATAGAAGGCAGAAAACAAAACGTTAAACATTAGTTGTAGTAACAAAACAACATTTACAACAATAAGTTGTAAATGTTTGTAAACCAAGTTGCCACAACTTATACTAATCACCACCTGAAAAATAAAATTGTATCGAGGATTGCACACTTTTGCATAATCATTTGTGCCTTGGGATAACAAATTAATCTATACGTGCTGTGTTAGCAAGTTATTATCACACTTTACTGCGACGGATAAACTATCTGCTCAGTGGCCTAGAAGTCCAATCAAAGTCACTACCTCGGCACTCCCTGACAATGCAATCTTAGCTTAATTACTGCATTTTTCCTATTCCAGTTTATCCTCGCCGAAATTACACATGGGAGACATGACTCAGTAGTTCGGATCAAATCTTTAAACCGAAATTTATTCCCACACCTGATTACTGGCCTTTAAAAACCACACAATGACATAATTTACAAACGAGCAGTATTTTGCTGGCTGAGCACCTATTCTGTCCTGTAGCCTCAAGAAAAGCGTGCACAGTGGTGGCATTTAAGTCGTCAGTGGAGGCGCCCAACAAGTATTATGGATCGGAGATTTCCTTCTTTATCATAAGGCCTTTTCTAGAGCGGTGACGATTAATACAATACACCACTCAAGGCTGATCATCCAGACAGAATTGTTGAACTCTTTCTATACCTCGTAAACCCTATGGAACGAGATGGACCTCTTGTTGTAAATTGCATTTCGATATTTAGGAAAAAGTCCTTGTGTTATTGAGGCAGTACACCTACGCTGATATTTGGACGATCTGTTAATACGAGTAGTACATGCCAAAGCATATTTCTGTACGTTAATTTCTTCCACGGCTCTTTCATGATGGTGGTTTATTCCAGTACGACGAAGCGTGCGAGTGCCATTTTGTCTAAAAGAATATGCAGTTGGGAATACAGCTCAGTGATGTTGGCCACAAACAAACACCCATTAACATAAATGTGGTCGACCTAGCGGAGACTTGAATACTCCTGGAGCTCATAGCAATCCCGTCAATGACATGTTCTCGAATTTTCGTGCCCACAGTCTTGAAAACGAGATAATTGCTGAGAATCTGAGCTGAGCTGTCCGATTTAATGTTGTGCGTGCACTGCATACTTCAGAAAACACCATTCAAAGGCTCCGTGGATGCTATATGAAATTCTGCATAAAGCTAAGTCTTCAACCCACACCTCAATTACATAAAGAACCTGTTAGAACCAGTGCACCAAGAAATGTATTGTATTATATCGATATTTCGAGTTCAAAATGAGGTAAAAATTCATAGTTTATTGAAAGCGTGAAGTCTACCCAACGTTTTCGATGTGCCACTTTTCGCGCTTTATACAGGAGCGTTGTTGTACAAATATTCATCAGTATTCATCAATCACTCTTTAATCTTCATCAATATTCATAACCATATTTGAAACCATTATAGGGATACATTTTCCCATGAACTGAGTACTGATGCCGAGATTAAACGACTGTGGGTCTGAAGGATACTGGTTTGCAACTCGCTATGAGCTAATTAATAAAATACCGACTACTCCAGGACCCGTTGAAAAGGAAATTATTATCAACGGACAATCGTTATCAACAACAACCGTCCTGTACTAAAGAACGCTGCCGGCCGAGATTGCCTCATTTGGGCGATGCTACATTGGAGAAGATTCGGCCCTATACCAGGGCAAACAAGCTACATCGAGAAGGGGAACAAATGTTGACCATCGACTTGGATCATTGGATCTGGGGAAAGCGAGTATGTCGAAATGCTAGCCAAATAAACATCTTTACTTATCTTAATAATTCAGGAAGGCATAAGGAGATAACAGGAAGTGCTCCCTGCTATTGATAATAACCGTAAAGATTGGGAGGACACGACGAAGCTTTAACAATTAAGTCGTAACGATTTTGCAGGATTCGAACTCGCGATGTCTACTAGCTATTTGCTTCAGTGTTCCTTAGCACATATAACAATGCTAATGTTTCAGCAAGACCTGGGAGAACTATTCTTCGTGCATCTGTCACAATGAAAACCATCGCAATATGTAGAAACATATAAGTTAATACTTACTGAAGACTGTATAAATTCGTGTGCAGGAAATTAAGAGCATCCATGTACACGTTCACTTCCCTGACGAATGCTTCAGAAATCTCTTTCTAGAAGCCAATATGAGGGATATTATTGCCAAAGCAAACAATAAGCATTCCATTTCAGTAGAATTATTTCGAGACTTACTGCCACATTCGAGCCCGACTTTGCGAAGAGATGTCGGAGAAAAGCGAAACGAAGACATTTCTTCACATGTGACACAGAAAAACTGTCTCGGAAGAAAGAAGACCTGAATAAGAAATAAATTTTTAGAGAAGACAAGAAGATGAATGCAGACAAACAGCCTCCAGCAACCAACCTTAAAAATGTCAAGAATTCGGGATCCAACCGTAAATTTGTAAACGGTGGATTTAGCACGACGGTAGGTATAAGAAGGTCAAATACTTCTTCAGGAATAGAAAACGAGAAGCTTCGGGCATAAAGAGACGACAGGCATCTCCTTGATACAATGGAAGTTAGCACCGTTTTTTTCGTAGATACACAAAGAAGAACGAGAGTATCACTTTGGAGAGATGCCAATGAGTAAACCAGTCCATTCAAAAGCCATGGGTTGAACGACTCTGCCTGTTCAATTACAACCAGTGGCTTTCTCTATAAGGCAAGGATTTTAGAAAAAACCAAACCAGGTTATAGATTGAGACCTACGTCGCCACTACAATCTCGGATGCGATTCACAACACCGCGAATATCCACATCTCCAGATTTGAGCACTATCGGATCACTAACTATTCCTTGAAGACGGTCAACGAGACCATCTACTAAATGCTCCACATCGGAAACGTTACACTGAACTATTCCCGTCTTCAGTTTACCTGTAATATGACACCATATCATTCAACTTATAGCTAGTACTCAGAGTAAAAAGTCATAATCCACTTACGTGATGTAAACCTTTGACAGAAAATGTTCTCCCTCTGTATACCCACAACATCTGCCGAAAAAAAGTCGGCTATCTGCAATAGCAAGAAGACTTGAACAATGGTTCCGACATTTTAATGCCCCTTAACGCTGACCTAGGTCTAAATTGCTTTAATCTTGATAGAGACCTTGAGTTAAGAGAGAGAACGTCAATAAAAGTTATTTCAAATTTGAAAACACCCCTTACCACCCAAATGTTTTGGAAGAATAGCCAAAATTAAAGGAAAAGTGACAATGATGCCGAGATATTTGCAAAACTCTGGATGACAGATGTCTGCGGTGGGGATCGATCACGTTATTTCCCTTCCCAAAGGTTGACGTTTTCACCACCACACCATGCGCGTCTATCGTTTCGCCTTTCTCTCAGCTAGTGTAAGCACAAAAAGTATCGAACTCGTGGAGTTAGGATAAACTATCAATGCCATAACAACCTTGGTTAGGATATCACTGATAAGTCCCTTTATTGCGTTATCAATCGCGGCGTCGAATTCATCAATGACTGCGACCCGATGCAGGCGTGACACAGAAGCCTTTCTGGAAATAGAAGTCGCATTTGGCTGAGAGGACAGAAAACTCACAGCCTAAAAACTATAAAAGTTTTCAGGAAGAAAAAACGAACGACGGATTCTTGAGGACGCTTGAAGACGATAGTGTCTTCACACTGTCGAAGGATAGAATACACGAACCACCCGAAAATGACATGCAGGACATGCTGGCGTGACTGCACTGAGAAGAAACCTTTAAAAATGTAACGCTCTTAAAGGTTGGAAAGTACGAACACGAAAAGAAACTGCAAAGAAAACGAGAAAAGTAGAGGACAGTGACGTACCGGAAGGTCCGATTTTCAAACGGACGGCCAGAAATGGCGCGAATTTGCAGCGACCGTGGTGTCGCGTGCGCCAGTCAGTTCGTGACGGTCGCGGAACGTCGGTGAGTAGTTGGTTGACGGACGAACGAACGAACGAATGAAGGGAACGACGTCCGGACATCACTAGAATCGCTACAGTGGGATAAGCTGACCTGCAATATAGTCATGTTCTCTATGAAACGTAGTCGATATGTATTACTCAATCAGAAATAATTAGCGCGTAGCGCGTAAAGTGCTTTCTTTTAGTGTGGTCTCATTGACAACGCAGGATGAGAGACTACCACTGAGTGGCTAACCTCGGTCTCTCGTCTTGAGTGAGAAGTCGGTTTCTGTACGAAAAAACAAACAGTATTTCCTGGCACGAACGCTGAAAAGTTTGCCGCGTGCGAAATCCCCACAAACTTCAGTACATCACATTGAAATGTACCGAGTACATAGGAAACAAAGGAAGAAGAATAAGAATAAGGACATAAGGAAGAAGGGCTCCTGTGGAGCAGTGGTCCGAGGCGTCCTACAACACATGTGCGGAATGGATACCCACACCCGTAGCCCACCAAGCCTTCCATCCCTATGAGGTCGGCAAATTGGTACTAGACTTGTCTGGGAGGATAGCAGCGCTGGTTCAATACATCGCTACGTCACCGCGAGTCATTGTAAAGGCCAGATATGTATACAGTCACCTCCAAACGATACTTAATGAAGTTGAAAACATGGCGCATCTCTCAGTGATTGATCAACGCCGAGAGCTTTATTCTTTATCCTTTTCGCATAAGAAAGGTTCAGGCAGATACCTAAAGCAACTGGAAATGGGCTTCATTTATAGTCGAGATTCACTATTGTGAACCAATCTGACCTAGTCAAAAAAGCTGAGAATGCTCGGTTGAGTAATTCTGTTCTAGCATAACCTGTAAATGCGTCGTTTTTTTGTTCAGCAACCGCGAGGTTGTTATACGACACACGTTTACTTCCGCACAAAAACGCATACAGTACAACAGTAGCTGATGCTTCGGCAGTATCCCTTCTTCAGAGCCTAAAAGGAAACACAGAAAGATGAAAAACTATATGGCAATAATGTGATCAACAGCTCCTCGGGTACCCACCGTTTTTACGTGCCTTCCACTGAGGAAAAAGAAGATCCGCTTAGAGTCGCATATGGTTGACTGCAATCCTATAATGAAAAGGTTACAATCCTATAATGAATAGCACGGAGGAATGCCCAGAGATCACACGTGATCCGGCCCGTACCATCGCATCGATTTCCGATCTCGACTGGTGCACTCATCGACCATATGCGACTCTAAGCGGCTGTTCTTCTTCGGTGCAAAGCACGTAAAAAACGATGGGTTTTTGAAGAAGCTGTTGATCATGTGATTGCCACACTGATTTCCATCTTTCTGTATGTGTTACTGAAGCGTTTGACGTAATAAATTGCGCACCAATATACCCTTTCAGACTCTGAAGAAGGTGGTACTGCCGAAACGTCAGCTACTGTTGTGCTGTGTGTGTTTTCGTACGAAAGTAAACGTGTGCTGTATAACAACTTCGCGACTGCTCCGATGACCGCGACAAGAAGGATAAGGTGCGACGTCATCGGCCTGGCCGAGACGAGAAGGCGCCAGCCTTTCAACGGCGTCTATGACACCGGAAAAGATCTGCTCCTCGGAACATGCGACAGTAGAGGAGTCGGCGGCGTCGGCGTTCTCGTCAACACGAGTTTGTCCATGAACATCGATTCATTCGAGCAACTTACAACCCTAATCGGACGTTTACGATTAAAAAGATGTGGATCAATTCCGGCTTTGATAATCTTCGTTGTTTACGCGCCGACGTCAAGCTATGACGAAGAAGAAGTCGAAGCGTTCTATATGGACTTGGAAGAAGTTCTACAGAGAAGACCACTCATTCTTCAAGGTCATCATTGGGGATTTAAACGCCAAGATTGGACCAAGAAGAACGTCTGAAGAACGTCACATTGGAACCCACGGGTTAGAATGGAACGAACTGGGTGAGCGGCGGCTATCTGAGTTTATCGTGGCGGCCAAGACCATCCATGGTAACTCGTAATTCTAGAAGCTTCACCCTCAATGCTGGACGAGGGAGTCTCCCAATGGAGGGTACCATAACGAAATAGACTAATAGACCACATCATAGTAAAGTGAAGGTTTTGCCTAACCGGTGTTGCGGTTTCCCCAAAATTATACACGGGATCGGATCACCGTCTTCTTCGTGCACGATTCTATTTCTCGAGGAAAGGAGAAAAAGGTGCTGAATTCAAAAACCGAGCTCCAGAACCACCGTAAACTGGGACTTATTCAATTCACTATTCAGCTGTTGGAAAGATACCGATATAGATAACATTGACGAAGAATACGATCGGCTCATTCAACATCTTCACGCTAGCGCTATGAAAGCTCAGAGTTCGAAAGCCACCAAGAGACGTCTGTCTCTAGAAACACTCGAGCTGATACGCCAGCGTAGAATCGCACGAGCTGCAGGCAACCGCGGACTAACGTCCGAACTTACAAAACAGTGCAGACAGGCAATAAAAGAAGATCTTAGAGAGAGAAGAGCAGCAGTAATGGTCGAAGCTGCAGAGGCTGAGAAAAGCATTCATAAAGCCCACCGAAGCTTCGTCAATTACAGGATAAACATGATTGCATTCCGACGTCCAAGCGGAACAGTTACAACGTCCAGAAAGGCAATGGAGAAAATCATTCACGAATACTGCTCCGATCTCTTCGATATCCACGTCCACCTTCAGTCGTTTAAAATAAAGAAGGATTCAATGTTTTTCTTCAATAAGCAGACACGAGGTTGTTAGTATAGAATTTATTAGAATAAAATGTACTACCGGTTCTCCCTTCCGAAATCCGACATGCCATTTCATCGGTGAAAAATAGAACAGCACTAGGTCCGGACAGGATAAGACTAGAACACCTGAAGAACCTTCCGCCAGTCTTCGTAAATACACTGGCTCGGCTCTTCACACGTTACCTGTCTGAATGCAAGGTCCCTGCTCAGTGGAAACCAGCAAGACCGTGTTATTGTCCAAGAAGAGTGACCTACGCGATATCGGTAACTATCGCCCAGTTTGCTTACTGTCTGTCGTCTACAAACTTTTCACTCGAGTCATGCTATATTGGACTGACAGAACACTAGACGAAGGACAACCATGTAAGCAAGCAGGGTTCCGAAGAGGATTTAGTACGATGGACCACATGCACACGATAACAAGGCTCATTTAAGTATCGCGAGAGTACAAAAGACCGCTTTGTCTCGTTTTCATCGATTTGTAGAAATCCCTTGATTCGACTGAGATAGAAGCAGTTATGGAAGCCTTTGATAGTCAAGGAGTCCCTACTCAGTACATAGAGATTCTTCGTGAGCTGTACAAAAATTTCACAACCAAGATACCACCATTCTACAACGATATTAACATTGACGTCAAAAGAGGAGTTAGACAAGGCGATACCACGTCGCCAAAATTATTTACCGCCACCCTCCAGAACGTCATGCGAACATTGGAATGGGATAATAGGGGAGTGGAAATCGACGGTCGGCAGTCACACCATCCTCACTTCGTTGATGACATCGTCCTTATAAACACCAAACATTAACCAAGTGGAACGTATGCTTGACGACTTTGATAAAGACTGTGGAAAAATTGATCTTCGACTAAATCTCACAAAAACGGTGTTCATGAAGAACGGATTGGTTTCGCATGCCCGGAACGAACAACTTTGAATGCTTCAGTTATATCTGTCTAGGTCGGGAAACCAATATGATGAAGGACCTAGCTCCAGAGCTGAGCAAAAGAAAACGATCGGCTTGGGGGCTTTCAAGAGCATCGAGAATGTAGTGAAGAGAACAAAGAATACCCAACTCCGTGCCCACCTTTTCAACTCAACGGTACTTCCTGCCCTAACGTATGCGTCAGCAGGATGATCAGCAGGATCACTCAGCGTTATCGAACGCGCAGTCGAAAGGACGATGCTAGGAGTATCCCGTTCCACACAAGTAAGGGATGAAATCCGAAGCTCCAGTCTGCGTCAACGATCAAGAATCAAAGATGTCGTTCTGTACACCAAACAGTCGAAGATAAGGTGGTCCGGACACGTAATGCGTATGAATGACAACTGATGGACAGGAGCCGTTAGTGACTGAATTCCTCGGGATGTCAAACGTACTGCAGGAGCCACCGACCCAATGGCTAGCGTTCTTCACAAAGAGCCTTTAAGAAGGATATGCTACTCGACGAGTCCCTTAAGTGAGCAGAACCCAATGGGCTACTCTTGCACGCGACAGGAAAAAATAGAAGATTTACTGGTGCCGGCTCGAGTCACTCGACGATCATCGGGACTACGGCTGATACAAGAGATTTCAACCACAGTGTGTCACTATCGTGTATTTGTATTGCTGTACGTAATTGTTGGCGTATTCTATTTACTCAGATTACTACCTACTGAATCACCTTACTTGCAATTTGTTGTACATGCATTTTTAGTGTAATCACATTATCGGGTAAATACTATGTATATAAACGGTTTAGTTACGTAAGTTTGAATTTGAGGTGTCCATCATTGTGACTGCTAATGACCAACGCCCCGCATAGCACAGGCAAAGACGAGCAGCTAATTCGAACGAATCTTCTTAACTGCTTGGTATTCATGTAACAGCGAGCCATCCCAGCAAAGATGATGGATATGGATGTTTGAGGCAGACACCATCTTCTATTCATGAAGATGCGGTTGATCTCCGCATGTGTCGTACCGTGAGGTGATCATTTGCAGCGGTGACTTCCTTCTGGAGATTTCTACTGATGGTAAGTGCTGGGAACAGAACTCCTGCAAGACGGTTTCCCTTCTCATTTCTTTTAGCAGTTCCAAATTTTCTAGTCCCATAGTTGCTTTCGTTGATTTTTCCGATTTTGGCTTTGGAATATTCGATAAAAAATCTATGAAAGGTCTTATCGTTGTAAATTGCTTCCTACCACTGGAAAAACGCTGAACGATGAGAAGCAATTGATGTTATTGATCTTCTCATGACGCATGGATTGACGGCGAATTATGGAAAAGTGAGTGGAATGGATCTAGTAATAAGCGACATGGTGGATTATGGAGG